GAAAACCCTACCTTCTACCTTCTTCATTAATCCATCTTAATTCTAGCTCCTTCCCTCTGTTGATTATTTCCAATTTATCCTGTACATAGTTTGTTGGTACACAGTTGTTTGCATGTTGTCTCCCCATTAGATTGTGAATGCCTCAAGGGCAGGGATTGTCCTTTTGCCTTTCTTTGTATACACAGAGTTTACCATAGTGCATAGCACATAGTAGGAACTTAATAAATGTTTACTGACTATTACCTATAGTATCTTCATCACAGAGACAATGTATGTAAAGTGATTTGCAAACCTGAATGTCCTATATAAACATGTGCACTTATAAAAGGACCAGGGGATAGTTTGGGATGAGAAGGCTTTTAAGAGGAAGAAGGATTTCAGCCAAGTATTGAATGATGAGTAGGAAGATTTGGACAGGTGGAGAGAAGGGAAAAGAGCATTATTAAAAGAGAAAATGCTAATTTACTATAGCCTAATACACTCCCTCACACATACTTTTCCTGGGGCATTGCCAAAACTCAGTATGTCTTCAGATTATTTTTGAGACTACCACGGCTGTTATCTAATTGAAATGGTTATTATAACCTCTAGTATCTGATTAAATAACTGTAATCCAATACCTTCTTTTCTCTGAGGGACATACGCTATCACAGAATTGTTGAGCTAAAAGAGAATTTAGATATCTTTTTAAATACCCCCCTCACTTTAAAGATAAGGAAAATCATCCAGAGAATTTAACTGATTCTAGTAGAAAGAGAACTGAATAAGGTCTCTGAATTAGGAGATCTTAATTCTAGCCAAGTCTTTCTGCAATTAACTTGTTATGTAACCGTAATCTCTTTGGACCTCAGTTTCTTTGTTTGTAAAATAAGGCAGGTGGACTAGGTGAGCTCTAGCTTTCACATTCTGTGGTTCTCTGTGTAGTGAGCACCGTTGGATCTTATTTCCCTGAGCCAGGCTTGTTGCATTGCCCCCTCAGCATTCCAGGGTTCACTGAAAGGTTTGTGAACATTTGTGACCTCTGTCATTGGCTCAAGCCTCTGATAGCTATGCTCCCTCATTTTATAAGCCTGTGTTAGTACCCCAATTCCATTTAACTATTTAATATCGGGAAGCTTTCACAAAGGGATATTCCATTCAAAAATATAGCAAGAAGAACATACAAGCATTTCCCTCAATACTTTTAGGGCACACTCTTCCTGATACCGCCTTGGTATCTGGCCTAGTAGAATCAAAATTTAGTTCAGTTTATTGGTCCCATCAAATCCAAGTCCAGATGTAGCATGACTGCCATGTGAGTATTTCCACTGAGGACCCAAAGGTCATATCCAAATATTGTTCCTTCCTCCTTGGAGCATTGATACTACACTAAAAACAAAAAAAAATTTTTTAAAAGGGCATAAAACTCAGTCAAGATTATGACTCCCAGATTTCTGTAGTTCACTTTCCTGACTATGAGCTGAGACTTCACTTCTTGTACTTAGAACAGAAAAGAACGAACAAAATGGTTCAGGACAGAAACCCATTTCTAGGATCATATGGATCCTTGGAGGAGAATAAGGCTCTGAGGTTTTCCTCCTCACAGCAGTCATGATGTGAGAGTCACCAAAATCTTCCAGAAAGGAATGAAGCAAAAAAGAGACAGAAGCTGACTCAGGCCTTCCTGAAGATGCCAACAGTTCTGGTTACACAGCCAATCCCAAGGTCCTTCCTAAACATGTTATTACTCCCTGGAACCAATTACAAAAGGTCCAGGCAGGTTCCATGTTCTCTTCACAGCCCCTCCCTCATACCTCATCACCTCTCTCCTAGGAGCAGCTCGCCGGCATCATCTTTCATGGGGGAAGGTTGCATTAGCCAAATAAGCTGATGGGGTCTGCACATATGCCAAAACCCTCACAAAAGAAAAAGGCATCATTTGGGGTCCTTATCAGAATTTTCCTTAGGTGAGGATTGAGACATCCACTTTGAATAAAAGAAGACAGACAGAACTTTGAGAAAATAAAACAGACAACTCCAGATATTACTAGGAGAAAGGAAGGATTGGAAGAGGGTATTAACTGCAATGTTTCCAGGAAACAAGGACAGAAGAGACACAAGGAGCTACAGAGCCAGGCTAGGGGCAACCCTCAGCAATACTGGTAAGTAAACAAAAACATTTCCTATGTCTTTTTACCCACTGTTTCCTCCAAATATTTCAGACGCTAGATATCCTCCTCTCTATCTAACCTGCTTTCAAGAAAGGATCTTCTCTCAGCAATCACTTATCAGTGAATATCTCACTGTCATCCCTCCCAGAGGTATCTCACTTCATAATGCTTTATTGTGTTAGAAAAGGATGTGTGCCCTGTTCAGCAAATAGGTGGGAGATTTATTGTGTTAGGACAGTATCTTCCCTCAACTTCCTTTCTCTCCCTTCTCCTCTCTCCTTCCCCCTTTCTTTCCCTCATTCTTTCAACCCACCAAGACAAAATCTCAGATCTGAGCCTTCATGAGTTATCATCTGCCTTTGACTGACAAATTGTCAACATTTCTTAGAAATTTAGTCTGCATGTGCACTGGTCATGCAGTCAGTCAACAAGCATTTACTAAGCACTTACCTTTGGTAGGCACTGTGCTAAGTGCTGGAGATACAGAGAAAGGTAAAAATAGTCCTTGTGAACATAAAAAGAATAACATCTTCCTGGTAACAAACAGAGATATACCCAGCACAAGGCAAATAATACTCTTCACCAAAGGGCACTGACATTGGGGGAGGCACATTCATGGACTCCCTAAGGAGCTTCAGAGACTTAAGGCCTCTTCATTCAGGGTCTTCGGTTTGTCCGGCATGGTTCTCTTTCTGTCCCTCCCTCAATGAGTTGTTCCTCTCCCCTTCCTGTAGACTCTGTGGCTAGACTCTCTGTGGGATGCATTACTATTGCCCCCTCACTTCACACTGTCCTCCATGTCCTTTGGCCTTCAATTCTTTTTGCACCAGATGAAGAATGCCAAATTACAGTTCTTTTTTTTTTAAACAAGCAAAATTGGGGACACCGACTTTATCAAAGTCCAGGGAAAAGAACTTAAACGAAAACTAACTATACTCTAATGAAAAGTGTCAGGCAGGGCAAGTAATTCCTTGCTCAATGGCATTTTTTCTCCCTACTTTCTGAATTTTCATTTCATTTGTTTATGAGCTGCCTGAAATGTCACCACTTTGATCTTCATTGGGGTTAACAAGAACTTTTTTTTAAAAATGCAAATACCTCTGAGGATATGAGGGGTGTGTGCATGTGTTTGTGTGTGTGCGCTCACATGCACATGCACACATACGCACACATGCCATGTGTATTTGTCAGGGTCGGGAGGACACAAAAGAGGAGGCAATAATTTTTGGAACAGGTTGAGCATTTTCCTGGCAGATAAGGCCTGAGTGGGCTACCAATCAGAAATACTTCCTTTTCATATTTCTGCTGGACTTCAGATCAGTGCTCTAAGTGAAAACAGTCCTAAGGACCGTTCAGGTAAATCCAGGATAATTTGGCTTATTACTTTGCACAAAGTTGGTGCTTAGTAAATATTTGCAAATGAGTGAATGAATTCTGAGCATATTCCTCCTCTTATATTATTTGACCCTGGGGACTCAAAATGTTAGTCTTGTTAATACAGATAAAATATGCCTAATATAGGTAAAATATGCAGCTAGGTGGCACAGTGGATAAAACACCTGGCCTGAAGTCAGGAACACTCATCTTCCTGAGTTCAAATCTGGCTTCAGACACTTACTAGCTGTGTGTCCCTGGGTAAATCACTTAACTTAAATGGAGTTTGGTTATGATACATTAATGTGACTGTAAGAAGATGTTGAATGGGGCAGTGCTACATGGAGGTATATCTTTATTGTAGATCAAACTATATCATAGTTTACATGGAAGAGACCTTAGAAGCTTTTTAACCTCTAAGATGTAGTACCTTGTCCCAGGTCATGCAAGTAGTAAGTATAAGAACTAAGATCTGAACCAAGGTTCTTTGACTCTATATCAATTCAGCTCACTTTCAATAGTTCCATATTGTACTTTAGTTTAAAAGTAACTAAATGGCTCCCAGCACTTTTTGCAGAATAGTCACTGGTAATAAAATCAAACATCAATTTTTGTAGTACCAGGAGAATTGGGAATCACTGAACTAGAAAGCCCAGTCATCCATTCATTTAACAAAAATATATCTATTCTATGTGCAAGGCATTATGGAGGACATGAGGAGAAGTGTGCTGGGTGGATCCTTCATGGAGGATCTATCGAAGAACACAAACAAGAACGGCATAGGATAAGGGGACATGGATTTACATGCCATACATAGTTTATGTACAAGGTTTACAATCTGCATTGGGAGTGGAGATAGTATGACCGAACCACCAAAGACCCAAATACTCTGGGGACTACAAAAAATAAGTCTCTGTCCTCACAGAGCTTACAACAAATTTCATTTTTATTGGGTCATTACCATCAAGTGGATGACTCTATATGGACAGCTGGATGGCACAGTAGATAGAGGGCTAGGTCTGGAGTCAAGAACTCTTCCTGAGTTCAAATCTAGCTACAGACATTTACTAGCTGTGTGACCTTAGGCAGGTCACTTAACCCTGTTTGGCTCAGTTTCCTCATCTGTAAAATGAGTTAGAGAAGGAATTTTCACTCCATATCTTTGCCAAGAAAACCCCAAATGGGGTCAGGAAGAGTCAGATACAACTGAAAAACAACAAAGATGCCACAATAAGAGATGATACGGAAAGCATGTTTTTCAGGAGAGGGTCTCTGTCTTTTGAATGTCTACAATACAAAACCAACAAGAGTCACATGCTACATGTCAGTCTGTTTTCAAATGTACCCAAGAAATACAAGAAAAACATTGCTGTGGAGAAGCTTACTCACACCTTACCATGGTTAGTAGAATTTTCATAATCAGGTTTATACCCCACATATAAACCAAAAAAGAAAAATGATACAGTGTATAGTTACCTTATAGTAGATTCTGGCTGCCAATCCCCGTTGAAGAACTCTTTCTCGAAAACTCACTGCTTTCAATAAGAAGGTCATATTACCAATAGCATCCATGTTAAATGCCAAAAAACTAAAGGAAAAATACAATAATCAAATGTTATTCATTGTGTTGAATAAACAAATTTTGTGAATACTAGAAGGATTTATGATTTCATCACTGTGGGGAAAGTTGAAGTGTGAGGCCTTTCTCCAATACATATTAGAACCCATCTTGAACCCAGTAGGTAAGATCTAGGGAGTTGTTTGAGACACATAGAGCCTAATACCCAGGGTGACACAAAGCTACTAAGCATTAGATGGGGGATATGAATACAGGTCTTCCTATAAGCTCAACACTCTATCCATTATGTCATACTGGTTCTATAAATGAACTTCATTAGAAAAAAAAACCCAGTTTTAAATTGAAGCAAGATTATCATAGGTCAGATGTATCAGAAAGGATTTATCAACTGTAAAGTTAGACACTAAAACACATGAACTGGATTTTCTAAGACACTCTGTCTTTAGTGGAGGTAAGTTCACAGTCCTTGGTGATGTTCTCTTGAGATCCCATGCTGTCGAGTTAAACGTTCACTGTTTTACCTCCTGACAATATAGTAGGGCATGCTAACTGAGTGGTTACTTAGATCTAGGGAACTGTAGATTGGGACTTTACTATCTCATTATACTCAAGAGTACACTACAGTTTCTCATACTCAGAGACTTTCTCCTGCTGGAAGAACCAGTGCTAGTACATTAGAACTACAAGAGTATAGAGGATATCTACTCCAACCCACCTTGTTTTACAGGAGAAACACAAGCCCAGAAAGGTGAAATTGACTTGCCCAAGGTCACATGGTGAATTAAAGGTATAGTCCGGGTTAGAACCCAGGTTTCTTGCACCTTGGCTTCAATATGGATAGAGACAAGTTTCAGTTCAAACTTGGAGACATGACTCCCAGACAGCACATATGTCCATACTCAGTGGTGTGGCTTCTTATAGAAATGTCAATCATTAGAAATTGCTAAGACAGATGCAGGGCTACTATATACTCAGGAATTTCTATGACTCTTGGCTCAGAAGTAGTCCATGGCTACAGAATGGTCAGAATGGCTCTCTGTGAAGTTCAGGATAGGGAAAGCAGTGTTAGAACTGCAGATATCTTCAGGAGAGAAGCTACTTGCAGGAATGGTGGTAGGGGTTGAAGTTGAGGTAAAATTAATTTGGAGGGGAACACATATATATTATAGTATTACTTCTACTACTAGCCTTTGAAGGGTCAGGGTGGGCCTATGTTCTGCATCTTGCACTCCTGTCATGAGTTTGAATGATTTTTTCCAGTATGTTTACTTTTTCTGTCATTAAACTGACCAACTTTTGTCATTATACAGATACCTACTAAGTATTATCAGAGTTGGCTATATTTATCAGCAGAGCAGGTGGCTACCGTTTGAGCTTCAATTCAGAGGCACCAGGAAAACCTTTCTTATTCTGCTCAAACACATGCACCCTTGTCTTTTATTCAGTGGTGCCTGAAATCTCTGTAAAGGGGGAGGTAAATGGCTTCATTCCAAAAGGGGAGATAAAGCTTAAAAGGTGAATGATCCTAGAAGAGATTAAACCTTGCTTTAAAGTCATATAAAACTAAACATAGCTGATATTCTAACTTTTCCTGAGAGTAAACTTTGGTAGAAGAAAACAGTATGTGGGTGCTTGAAGGTGGGAAGAAACATTATAGAAGAGAAAAAGGGGGAGGCCCGGGATACCAAAGATAATTTCTACCTATTTCCAATTTTGCCCAGGGCTATCTCTGAGTGGAAAATTAGATACTCAGGGCAAATGGGGAAACATATGAATGCAGATAATTCAGTGAAATTCAGTAAATACTGGAATAGCTACTACATTTAAGTCACTGTCACTAGGAAGAGGGAGCAGAATACACCGATGAAGACTACATGGTGCCTTTCCTTAAAGAGCTTAATTTTTAGTAATAATAATGATATTAACAATATTTTTATAACACTTTAGATTTGTGTCTCCCCACAACCTCCCTGTAAAATAGGTAAAAAAAAAATACAGCTCCTTAAGGGCAGGAACTGTCTTTCTGTTTTGACTTCGAATCCCAAGAGGCTAGTTTGGCCAACAATAGGTCCCAGCCCAAGCCTTACATGGTCATGGTCTGGATTCTGATGGCTCAGAGTAAGCATAAATAGCAATTGTTTCTGTTTTGGCCAGAAATCCTGAGGGTCTTCCCCTCAGATTAATATAATTTAATTTTTTTAACCAGGTGAAAAAGGCCATTCTTTCCCTCATTTTTACTTAGCCTTAATCACTGAATGGGCATTGCCTCAGACAAACTGAGACCTGGAAAAGACCTTAGCTCAAAAAGACCAAGGCCTCCCACTGCATCCCAGGCCATCTCCAGTTGTTCTGATCTATATCTTGCCACTGGACCCAGATGGCTTGGGAGGAGAGAGTAAGGCTGGTGACTTTGCACAGCCCTACCTCACTTATATCATTTACAAGTCATGACATCATCTTCCTGATGTCATGGTCCTCTTTGAGAACAAAGGACAAACAATAACAACAACAATACCTTGAACATAACATGTATGTAATAAATACATATTTAATAGAATTGATTTATCCTCATTTTTTTTTTTTAGGCAATTGGGGTTAAGTGACTTGCCCAGAGTCACACAGCTAGTAAGTGTCAAGTGTTTGATCTGAGGTCAGATTTGAACTCAGGTCCGCCTGACTTCAAGATCAGTGCTCTATCCACTGTGCCACCTAGCTGCCCCTTCCCATTTTTCAAATGAGGAAAATGAGTCTCAGAGAGTTTAAATGACTTGCCTATGGTCACATAGCTAATAAGTGTCTGAGGTGAGATCTGAACAAAAGTTTCTTGACTTCAGGTCTAACACTATGCTGGAAAATGTCATGTTCACAAATGATAATAATGCAAAGGTAGAGAGTATCAAGGTGCATGAGTCATATACGCAAAGTGCTGTATGAGTTCTGAGGAAAGAAAAATTCCAATATAGAATAGGTGGCAATGTATGTTGAAACTTGCTACCTCTCTGTGGGCATCTTCCTGTTAGCTCCTTGTGCATGACTTCCTGGCCAGATTCAAACTTCAGATGCTCTGCCCACCCCCAACAATAACCATACTGAAAAATGACTTTTAGCCAGAGGACATATGGCATGACATAAAAATAAAAACAAGGATAGGTGAAATTTCTTGGCTTATAACTAATGATAATAATAATAATAATAATAGCTAACATTTATATAACGCTTACTATGTGCCAAGCACTGTGCTAAGTGCCTTACAATTATTATCTCATTTGATCCTCACAACAACCCTGGGAGGCAGGTGCTATTATTATCTCCATTTTACAAGGTGAAGAAACTGAGGCAAACAGACTTGTCCAGGGTCACACTAGTAGGTGTCTGAAGCTAGATTTAAACAAACATCTTCCTGACTCCAGGCCTGGCACTTTATCTATATACCCCCTACAGAAATACTGAAATATTAAAATCCTAATATATGAAATACGCTTAAAATATAAAGCAACAAGAGATCAGCCAATGAGGACCCAGTCCTAGGAGCATGTGCAAACATGGGTGCTTGGGGAGTCTTCTTCAAGAATGTTCAAAGGAAGGACCCTGCTCCCCTATGTAGCATCCTTGGCTCAGAGATCTCTCAGCCAATTAAAAGTCATGTCTCCCTCATTGGCCTCAGGAAAACCTCTCCAGGCTTGAGAAGTCAGTTTAATAAACAATACTCTGTTAGAATATATAAAAGGAAGAATGGGTCTTAAAAACACTAACCAAGGCAGGGATAGACTAGAACCAAAATATTTACAACTTCAATATTGTTGTTAGTATGTCAAATCTATTTTGGAAAACTATTTTAGCCAGTAAGCAGACTATTCCTTCAACCCCACCCCCAAGTATCTGTGTATGTTGAAAGAATATATATACAACTTCTCCTACCCATTCCCTCCAATTTAGATGAGCCTGGTGATAATGAGGGGAAAAAAAGGGCCCAGTGATTCAAGAGGAGGGGCAAACAGAAGAAAAGACAAAGAGTAAGGAAATTTACTGCCTCATCCTGCTCTGGGAGAAAAGAAGAATGAGCTGGTTTGGAAGGCAGTGGGTTCCTTCTTACCAGAGGGCTGGAAGCAAAGGGTGGATGACCATTTGCTGTCTGATTTAGATGCAATTCTTTGGAGAGGTATGGGTGGGAGTAAATGGCTTCTGAAGTCCCTTCCAACTCTGTGATTGCATGATTCTGTGATTAAAGGACTCTCCAGGAACTTAACAACCTCATCTTAGAAACTATCTGACTGTGCTATAAAGCATGAAGGTAGAAAGAGGAAAACACTCCTGCCATAGCCATCCCTCCCACTTTAAAAACCAAGAAACCCATGGGATCTGGCAACACTTGTACAGGGTCAGAACCTCCACCCCAGCAGGAACATACATACCTGGGAATTTGCATGCTTCTTTGCACTCAGTGAAGAATTTCTATTTTGAAGTAGCTAGGTCAGTCAGTTAACTAGCATTTATTAAAGTGCCTATTATGTGCCAGGCACTGGGCTAAGTGCTAGGGCTACAAAGAAGGGTAAAAGACAGCTCCTGTTCTCAAAGATCTCACAGCCTACCGGGAGAGACAACATGCAAACTAGGTGGTTCAAGTGGATAGATCATGGAGTCAGGAAGACCCAGTTCAGAGACACTTATTAGGTAGCTGTGCGACCCCAGGGCAAATCACTTAACCTCTGTCTGTTTCAATCTCCTAATCTGTAAGATGGGGATCATACTAGCACCTACCTTCCAGAGTTAAAATGAGATCGTATTTATAAAATACTTTACAAACATTAAAGCACTATATAAATCCTTGCTATTATTATTATTGTTAATATTATTGTCATTACTTTCTATCTGTTAAAACTTAAAGTTGTATTATTGGGAACTGTGAAATTACAAGTACAGAATTAGCCTCAGTTTACTTGGAGTGGAAGGGAGAAAGTTTACCATGCATAAATTGCCCCAGGTTTTCTCTGTGCCTTGCTACAAAGAAA